TATTCGTGTCCTGCATTTGCTTTGCAAAAATGTTGATATTAAATATAAAAATATTTGCTGAAGCTGAGCAAAATGTATACCAAATAGTGCACTTCTCTAAAAAAATAAATCAATAAAACAACAAGGTAAAAACAATTCTGCCTTTAACCAGTCGTTGTTTTAATATTGAATTGAAATTCCTCAATGTACGAAAATAGCCTTGCCAGACTGGTAAAAGACATATTTATATAGTGATAGTGATCAGATGTTTTATTATCTTCTTACATACAAACATCTCAGGCAAAGTGCGCAGCTAGCATATTATTTTGCAGTAATTATAAAGTAATATAATACAGACATGAGCAAAGCTGCTAACAGTAAGTTAAAAGAGTAAATTGTTTAATATATATTTTTAAAACTAACATTTCCCGGGAAGTCTTGCGTGTTGCTTTGTTGCAGCTGAGGGGCTCGAAAGACAAAACGGCCAATGTACTAAACGCCGTTAGTAAAATTGAACTGGCTGTTAAGGAACACAAACCACGGCTCATAACGTTGCCCGAGTGCTTTAACTGTCCCTACGGCACCAAATACTTCCGCGAGTACGCAGAAAATATTCCAGATGGCTATACGAGCCAGCAGCTGTCGAAAGCCGCATTAGAAAATCAGATCTATCTCATTGGCGGCACGATTCCGGAGTTGGGGGACAACGATGCCATTTACAATACGTGCACCGTTTGGGGTCCCAATGGCGAGCTGTTGGCAAAGCATCGGAAAATGCATCTGTTCGATATTGATGTGAAAGGCGGCATTCGATTCAAGGAGTCGGAGACTCTGTCGGCCGGCAATGACTTCACCATTGTTGACGTTGATGGGCACAAGATCGGGATTGGTATCTGCTATGACATTCGCTTTGAGGAGATGGCACGCCTCTATCGCAATAATGGCTGTGAGATGATTGTGTACCCGGCTGCATTTAATATGACCACAGGTCCTTTGCACTGGGAACTGTTGCAGCGAGCGCGCGCAAATGATAATCAGCTCTTTGTGGTAACAGCCTCGCCGGCTAGGGACACCTCTGCCGAGTACGTTGCGTACGGCCATTCCATGATTGTGGACCCATGGGCCAAAGTCCAGAAGGCTGCCGACGAAACCGAGCAGATTTTAGTCGATGATATTGACTTTTCTCTGGTTGAGCAAGTGCGCCAACAAATTCCCGTATTCACCCAGCGGCGTCTTGACCTCTATGGCACCGAAAAGAAATCCAAATGATTTATTATTGCATTTATCTTGTTACGTCTATTATATACGAAATGTGTTTCTAAAATCAAATATTGCTCAATAAGGGATCCTCTCATTGGGAGGTGCCCGTTGCCTCCGACTCCCCAGCAGCTGCTGACATGCCGAAATGCGGTCGCTGCACTTGACCGAAGAGTGCGCGTATAGCTTCATCCGTCGCCATTAGCGGCTGGCTAACAAATTCCAGTGCCTAGAAAGAAATATATGTATAAATTGGCTCCACCTGTTGCCCAGCTATTCTTCATTTAAAACTTGCCTGGACGGCGTACTTCTCTGCCTCACAGAGCGGACTACTGGTGGCACTCGAAAGCTTTAAGGTCGTTTCGGGTATGCCCAATCCGGAGTGCAAGACCATGCGCTGTAGGATGTTTAGGTTCTCGGCGCTTAGACTGATTACATCCGTGGCAGGCAGATTCAGATAGCGTATTTTAGCGAGGAATTTCAGTTGCTTCAGGATGTCCAATTGAATTTCACGAATTTGATGCGTGGTGTGCATCAGTTGCTTGGTCGATTCGTTCAGCATTTGGTTCTTTTGCGTAAGATCGGCTTTCCAGCGTGCCAGCTCCTCGACCATAACGCTGCTGGCCAAGAACTTGGAACGCCAGACCTCGCATTGACTGGCCAAAAACTCGATTTGCTCCGTGTGTGTGGTCAAATTGTTGGCCGTGTCGAGCAGAGCGCGAGCCAACTGCAGCTTATCCTCGGTCAGCAGGTTCACCCGTGTCTGTAGATCCTCGCCAACGGAAGCTACTAGCAGGCTCTTCAGCTCGCTGTTCACTTGCGTCTGGAATTTATATTGCGCCTTGAAGTGGTCGCGCTCCTCTTGCATCTTGGCCAGTTCCTGCTTCAGTCGCTGCACTTCCTCGCTGCTTGCGCTAGTTGTATCGGCGGCTTTGGCATCGCCATTCTCTTGGATAAGTTCCTGGGTGCGCAACGTCGATACCTGGTCTGCTAGAACGCCAATGTCTAAATTGTTTTTGCTAACCCTCTGAGTCTTTTGCTTAGCGGCTTGCTGTGCCGGAGTCATAGGATTCACGGCACCCGGGTACGGTTCGTAAGGCACGAATTTCGGTGGTTTGGTTTTCTTATGTTCCGGCAGAGGTTCAGAAGTGCTCACCAGCCTGGGCTTAAGCTGGACAAGCTCACCCTTGGGCAGCACAGGCGCAAGGCTGCGGCTCATCACTTCGGGGCGCCGGTAAAGTGTGTGTAAGCCAGGCAATGGCAGTGAAGAAGTGTTACTGCTGCCTTGGAAAGTCCTCGACTCAATTACTGCTTCCTGGACTATCGTACTGTCCTTACGCGGTAATTGAGGTCGCTTAGTCTTAACGGCTTCGAAATTGGCTGACGACTGCTCTTCGTGTTGCACTTTCGCTTTGGTTGCGACGTCAGTGTGTTCCATGCCATCACCGCTCGTGCGACAGGACTGAGCTCTGCCGTTACCATCGTTCTCTAAGGCATCTGTATGCATGGCTTTCCTTTTCTTTGAATGACAAGGCTTTATATCTCTAGTATTTATACCTAAAAAATTTTACATCAATTTTGCTGCCAACAAAACAAAAACAATGGAAATGAAGAGCTGCCAACTCGTTTTTAAATAGTCAAATGTTGCCAACTAACATTTGCAGCGCTGCCAATCATCTTTGCATTCTATATACATAAGTATAGTGAAAAATCGATCAGTTTTGATTTACTCAGCGAAGTTAACAACAAATTGGTTACGCGCTGCGTTATCTAAAGTTCCCGTGACGCATACAGCAGGAGTTGCAGCCAAGCGAATGCTACGTGCATTGTCGATGCGGACGTTCATATGCATATAAAATCCTTTAGCATAGATGCTCTGCCGGCAGCTGTGCGAGTATGTCGACGACTGAGAGTGATCTGCTTCGAAACATAAATGAGAAAATCGAATTGATTGAGCCTAGCACAGGAAAACTGTTTTTCGAACACAAAACAGAGCTGGTGTTTGTGAACCCGCGTCTGATGCCCCTAAAGTCTCAGGCCTTGGAGAGTCTCGAGGAAATGCATCGCGAAACTGCTCGCCAGTTGCAACAGAAACGCACAAAGCGCAACAACAACAATAACAAGAAAGAGACCGCTGCTGAAGCCGAAGCTTTGGCTCCGGCCATCTAATAATTAAGATTATCAGATATAATTTATTACAACCAGCTTTAAGATGGCCTACTTGCTGACCTTTGGGGTGATTGGATCACTCTTCCTGGCCAGTTTAATGCTCTATCGATATGGCAACATTCCACGTCAACACATCCTTGTCACACTGTCCGTACTGACTGCCTGGTGTTTCTCCTTTCTGATCGTGTTTACCATTCCGCTGGATGTGACATCGGTAAACGAACTCAAATGAGAAAAAAATATATATATCTAATATGATTTATTGATTATTGCAGACCCTATATCGGCAGTGCGAAGAAAAACATAAGCCGATCCCAGAATCCGCACTGGAAAACAAGGACAACGGCAGCAATATAACAACCACTCCCGCAAGCAACAATATTCACCCAGTCGAATGCCAGGAACCCTGGGGAATGGTTCCAGCATCCGTGTTTCCCAATTTATGGCGCATCATCTATTGGAGCTCACAGTTTCTCACGTGGCTCATTATGCCGCTGATGCAATCGTATCTCAAGGCGGGCGACTTCACCATTAAAGGCAAACTCAAGTCGGCGTTGATCGAAAATGCCATCTACTACGGCTCCTATTTGTTCATATGTGGCGTGCTGCTTATTTACATTGCTGTTAAGGGCGTATCACTGGACTGGCAGAAGCTGAAAGCGATTGCCTCATCGGCATCCAATACTTGGGGTCTCTTTTTGCTCGTCCTGCTGCTTGGCTATGCCCTTGTCGAGGTGCCCCGCTCGCTGTGGAACAATGCCAAGCCGGGATTTACGCTGCAATACGCATACTTTAAGGCCGCGAAGCTCAGCACGGATAAGGCTGAGGCGGAGGAGCATGTCGACGATGTGCTAGAGTCGCTGCAGTGCATCAGTCGCGCTGTGCCCAACAACCATGAGCTACGTCCATGCGTCGAGACGATAATGCGAAAAGTGCCCATCGAGCTGCAAGAAAGAGCCTCTCGCAATTTCGCCCGCAGCGGTGGCAGCAGCATGGGCGGCACCACC